GCTGATCAGTCCAGGAAGGAATCTAAAGCCATTTGTAAGCAGTCCCAACACAAGTAGATGAAATGGCTTGATATTTTTAACTGTTTAATTAGCTGGGATTTGTTCTTTCTCTTTCAAGAGAAATAGCTTTGCTGCAAATGACTTGGGAACCTTGGTTGTAGAGTGTGCTACACTCCAGTGCTACTTCACAGCTATGGATGAGAGGTTTCCCTGACACCTCAGGCGTCACGTTTGCCTTGCAACCTTGAGAGCCTGATCTGAGTACTTGACCTTGCCTTTTATGTGTTTGCAAGAAAATTTCAGACTTTCCTTAACACATTGCACACAGCTCCATAATGATGCCTATAGCCAAGAAGTATATAACTACTAGAAAATAAGTTTTTTTTTTGGGGGGGGAATCAGTGGAAGACATCTCAATTCAATAATGGTTCTCCAGTACCCTGGTCCCCTCTTTGTCACCTTTTATGAGAAGTTGTTCAAAGTGGTTACTATGAGGCAGACATGGCAGTGGACTTTGCAATAAGAGGGGAAGGCTTACTAAGAAAGACCAAGCTTGGTTCTAAGTCTACAATTAAAATATTTTCATCTTCCCTTTTGTGCTAAACACTTTTTGCACAAAGTTTATTTGTGTGAAACAGCTAATTCCTACATATGGGTGTGGTCATCACTACAAATAAATGATGACTGAAACCTCTATCTTTTAGCATTTTAAAAAGTGCATACACCTAAGCCAGACAGTGGCGCTATACATCTTTAGTCCTAGTACTCAGAAGGCAGGGGCAGGTGAATTTCTGAGTTCAAGACCAACCTGGTCTACTGAGATAATTCCAGGGCAGCCAAGGCTACCCAGAGAAACTCTGTCTCAAAATAGGGGAAAAAAATGCATACACTGGTCCTATTTTATTCAGAGGGCTCGTGCATGGAGCTATTTCTTTTTAGGAGAAAGGACTTTTCCCCTAAGCCCATGAGCCTACTTTATCCTTTCATTATCCCTACCTGATGTTGGAGTGAAAGCACCTAGAATCCTTTTCAGAGTGAGGACGAGATGCTTGGAAGCAGAGCCCACAGAGCCACTTTTGTCATCCCAAGCCTTCTGCAGTTCACAGCCTCATCTGTTTTCCTTCTTTCAACTTAAGATGCTCATGCCTCTTTATGTGGTTAATTACGCTCAATTAAGCTGCTTTGTTTTTCTTTCTCTGCCAGATTCTCGGAATTGTCCCAAGTTTGAGGGGAAAAAAATTGATTAGTCCTATTTCTGCTGCCGCCTCTGAGCCCTGCAGTTGAGTACAATGAGGTCACTTTGTTGAAGAATGAACTCTATACTACATTCTTGCAGGGTAGATGTATGTCCCTAAGGTACCACTACCCCTGCTGATGGAATAAATATACCTTCTTTATGATTCCCTCCCATTACCCTCTCTGTTGATTTTCTGAGAGTTTATGTTTAGTCACATATTTATACAACTGGACAAAAGTATACTTATTTTTCTTGTGGTTTGTAATAACCTATGCAAAGTTATTAAAGGGTACACAGACCCCTTTTAAGGCATAGTTTCTTATGTCATTACTTTATAAAAGCAGGTCAGATTCCATCTCAGCAACAATCTCATGCTTTTAACCCTTTTCTCTGATTATAAAAGTAATATATGCTTATTGTGCGGGGTGTGGGAGGGGGAATGAAAACAGAAAATGGGGCAGTCACAAAGATGAAGAAAAGCATCTTAGGAACCATGAGTTGTAGAAACAACTATTCATCAATCTGTGTTCAGACACTGTTGTTTATTATGTACATGGTAGGTAGGTAGGTAGGTAGATTGATTCATTCTTTTTCTTTTCTTTCTTTCTTTCTTTTTTTTTATTCATTCATTCTGAAGACACCATGTTAATGGTTGGAGACACTGCTCAGTGGCGCCAGATTTGGTTCTCATCACTCACATGGTGCCTCACAACCAACTATAACTCAAGTACCAGGAGATCCAATGCATTCTTGTGGACACACATACCTACATGCAGGCACTCATACATGAAAAAAAGTGAATCTTGTAAAGTCACCATATTACGTACATGTCCTGTAGTCTTTTTAACCTAACACTAGAAATGTCAGTAAATTAGTGTTTGTCATATGACACTGATTCTGAGGCTGGGATCCTATTCAGTTTTATGTACTGTTCTGCCTCTTTGCTCCTCTCTACATTGAACTAAGTGCCATCTCCTCTTCCCAGATATTTAATGTCGTTTCTGGGGGAGAGTTATGTATGTTTTAAGAACTAACAAAACTACCAGTCCTTATTAGATGATCCCTCTCACACATGATTTTTTTTCCTACTCAGAGAAGTCAACAAGTTCCCTTGAGTTTGGGATAGCTAGCTTTGTCATGCATGACACTGTTAATTTTGTCTATGGTGTTGGACCATTCCATTGTAATATTCAATACTGAAATACTGAGTGTAAGTCAACATACTTGCAAATGTGAGCAAGGAGCCAATCCTAAAGGTACAAGACATAAATAACAAGACTTCACCGTGCCTCACTATTTGAATTATCCCCTCTGTCATGGTTTATATCCATACCCTAGATGCTTATTTTTGTTTGAGTAATGAGTTTATTGTGTCTAATCCAATTACTCTTCATGGCAACACAATGGCTTCTTCTCAGCTCCTTTGTTATTAGTTTCATACAATATTTGAATTGATTCTTTTAATTGCTGATATTAAGTGTCAGTCATTCTGAAGTGAGTTGGCCTTATAGCCAGAAAAATCACATCCTCTCCGCCTCAGCATAAAAGCTTTTCAAGGAGCAGCAGTGGATTCTAGATACACCGGAAGTTCATTATGCAAATGATGAAATGGGTAGATCCACACCTCTTGAGTTATTGGTGACTTTGACTGGAAATTTAAAAATTGTAGGATGATGAATTATGTTTTGAGGGGCTGAAGTGATACTCTTACCTGTCTAAAGCTACTGTATATGGTTAAACATTTCGCTGGCAATTAGCCCTATGGGTCAGGCTTGATATGGTGTATAACTTAACCCTCAATGTTCAGTCTTATCTCTCTGATGCAATTCTTGATTAAACATCACGGATCCTATGGGTAACAGCTGTGCATAAAGAGTTCCATGGCTTTTTCTCGATAATTCAATCTGAAGAATTCTTCTCAAGGGCTTAGAAAGAATTTATAAAATAAAAGGAACAATAAATATTGTGCCTTAACTCATATACTAGAACAGAGATTCACTATACCTGGGTGTAATTTTCAGTAATTTCCACAAGAGACAAACTGAAAGTTTCCTATTTGGGAGGGTGGGGGAGGGGAGAGTTGCCTAAATCTCATATTTCCAAAATGATCACATTATCCAAAATGAAAATGCAGCTCTATTAATGACCTTAATAGGCATTGTAGTTTGGAAAGGGAAAAAAATCTTTTAAATAAAGTTATTTGAAGTTCATTCTGACTTAAAACATCCAAGTGAAATAAAAGTACTTCCCCTGATTTATGTGTCTTTGGGAGAAATAGTTGCTGGCTTTTTACTAACCTATGTAAAACAATGTACTTTTGTAAATGGATTTCTGGCCACTTTATTCAGCTCCCCCCACCACCTTTTCTTTTCTTACATAAAAAGTAAGCACTGTCAATCAAGGAATTTTAAGGTTTATTTCCTCTTTAGCAATGATTGATAGCCTTTTAGATTTACAAGTTGACAAGTTAAAGGGTTCTATTGGTATAATTATGTTCTAAATTCACAGTCTTTCAATTTAAATGTCCTTTTAAAACCAAGAGATTATCATACCTGTATTTTGAAAAGTGGGCCAGTCAGTTTGGGTTGGTATACAAATTGCTTCCATTAGCCTTGGGACCTATTTGAATTTAATACAGTTTTTAAAAGTTAGTATGAATCTTACTTTTAAAATTTAGGTTAATGGAAATGCATTTTAAGTAAAGCATGTGGCAACTTGTTTTTTTTTTAATGTATAGATATAATGTTAGGGCTAGAGAGACTGTCTTTTTATTCAGGAAGGAGGAAAATATGCAATGAAATGCTTTAGTTAAGCTGAGAAAAAAGGAATTGTACAAAATGATAACAAAATCCTACTGCCTACTTATTGCTCAGGATATGGATATTGGGACTGTGTGTAGAGGAGGTTCTTGCCATCTTTCCTACTTTCTCAGACTAGATATGCTCAAGATGCTTTGTATCCTAGGAAGGAATTCTGAAAATGATAGCATAGACTCTAGTTTCTATTTGGTCTAGTTTAACAGAGTGTGTCCAACAGGACACAGTGAGGTCCATTGTCTCCAAATGTTATTATTGCAGTTGGCTCTCTGAGTTTTAGTAAATCATTCTCAGAGACGCAGCTGGGCTAAGCTAGTATTCCACAGAGATTGGGTTTTCTTTTTCTTTCTTCCTTCCTTCCCTTCTTTCTTTCTTTTCTGAAATAATATCAATGCTGTGAGTGGGTCTGTCATTCAAGGTGGGAAAGTTTTGGATCAAGGGCATGTTCATTACTTGTCTCTTTGTAGATTCTTTCAACGGTTTAAGAGACATGTCCACTACCATCTTCACTGCACAGAAATTGCTGAGATACTGGATCCACTAATTCTCTATAGGAGACTTAACAGATACCTGTGTGGTCCCCTACTATTTAGAATGTATAGGTACCTTCAGACAAGCTCTTGACTTTCTACCCAGCTTTTTGCAATAAGGTGAATCCCAAACCCTTGTAGCAAATTTCATTGTACTTTTTAGTTAGGATCATGTCAAGGATGTAAGATTGGGCTCAAGGAGCTGTGTTCTGAGACCTATTTGCTACTGATATTTCCTCAAGGGTCAGTCCCCTCCACAGTAAAAACAATAGATGGTGGAAATGCCCACCATGGTGATGATCTACATGAGGGACGAAAGAGTATCCATTAAATGCCAAGAGTTATTTCTATACCACCTTGGTGCAAACAATGCTGTGTTTCCTAAAATGTTCAAACTCTATGACTTCTTCCTTACAGCACTCAACGAGCCCACCATCGACTATGGCTTCCAGAGGTTACAGAAGGTCATTCCCCGGCATCCTGGTGACCCGGAGCGCTTGCCAAAGGTCAGAATTCCCCCTCTTTGGGACACGGTTTCTAGAAAATTGGACTTGAGAATGGCAAAATACCTTCATTGGTTAAGACAAAAAAATAGTTCATAGATAACCAACTTGTGGGTACTTTGTGTGTCATGATAAAATTAGCAAGGACTTTGGACTGGGCAATGCCATGCTTCTTTTACTATATATCATGCCACTTGGCAATTTTAATAATGAAGCAAAGAGAGGTCAGACAATCTGCCCAAGGTTGCACAGTGTGTTCACTGCTGAGATTTACATCTACCAAGACTGTCTCTAGAATTTGGGCCAATCACTCATTATGTCATAATGATTCTCAAGAAGAAAAGGAATGCCAGATTTTATCTGCTCATAGATCTGTACTTACTTTGGTAAGGGTAGAAAGAGTTCAAAGGGATGTGTATTAGTAGGTCTGGTAGAAAGATTAGAACGAAAATAGACAAAGATACTCATATTGGTCAAGTAAGGCAACATTTCTTATAAGACATCTTTCTTATTAGAAAAATTAAACCCACAGGTGTGAGGAATAAAATGAAAAATCAGAATAACAATATTATGTTGCTGTCAATGGAGAAATTGGAGATTGAGCCTTGCTGTGACTACTGAAAGCCTCCTGTGAGATTCCAGAGCTTTGTATGCGATGGAGAGTCAGACATGGCTGATCATGTCTGAAAATGGTAGATGCACCAGGCAAAAGTCCCAGCGAAGTTCTGAGTGACCTCAGTAAAGACAACAATTAAAGAGGTTCAGAGTACAGAGCCAGGCTTGCTGTCATGGTTAATTGACAGCAAAATACTATTTTATTTAAGACATGGTTTAATACCATCATCTTAAAGAGACTGATGAGAGGTCCTGTTCTCAATACGGAAGTGTGGTGTCTAGATCTGTATCTCCTCATGAAAGGATTAAAAATCAAAACAAAAACAAAAAGCAAACAAAAACAAAGGCAGCATCCTTCTTAGGCAGGTACGTGGTCAAATTCTCCCTATATGGGACTGTACTTGTAGGCATATCTTCCTGTCAGTGAAGGTCCCACCTATCATACTGTTGTCTCCCAGCCTTATACATGGCTTTGGGGAACACAGTGAGTGGGAGTGATACCTACTAATGCCAAAAGAGAGGATGCCTTGTGACAGGCATGCCTGTCTTTTACTTTGACCTCAGGAGAAGAAAACAGCTTCCAGTTTCTCAGAACAGCCCTACTTCTACTGAAGTGCTGTTCATACTGATAGACAGTTCTGAAAAGCACTTAATCTGGCGAAAGGAATAATATGATGTGTGATTGTGTTTACATCTCTGTCTTTGGAAGGGGCCTTGCCTTTTTTTCCTCCATCCTGTTTTATTCTTGGTAAACTGTGAAATAGTCTATTGTAACAATGGGCAGCGGTGCCTTTCAGGGTATAGGTGTTTTGGAGAAAAGCTGAATTTTAGGTTCCCCTGTTCTGTAGTAATATAGTGATTGTGCATTTCCTGTGATGAACTACTCTGGTAAGTTATAAACAATTATAGACATGATGTGTGCCTACATTGAGAGCTGTGCTATAGCCTTACTGTGGTAGAACCAAGATGCATGTACAATGACCGTTTTATTCTGTCATTTCCATTTAGGCAGTGACTTTACTTTCATCTAGATTTTAGGTCATCATTTCATCCCAGGGGTCTCCAGGGTTGAGAGCACAGCCTGTCAAAGGTCTTCCTTCCCTTTGCTTGGCTCAGTTTCCCTATGTGTCAAATGGCAGTAGTGATACCTCTTGCTTTGCCAGGTTGTTACTCTGGCCACTTAGCACCTGACAGAAGGTTATCCTCTTTATGTGTCAGTTGAATAAAATAGAAACAGAAAACTCCCCTCCTCTGAACAGTTGAATGTATACCTCAGTTTCATCTATAAAAGAGACATAGTAGAAGCAATAAGGATAAAAATACTTAAATGGTTGAAATCTAAAGAGGCCAGGCTGTATTTTTGGTTTTTTGTTTGTCTGTTTGTTTGTTTCTTTTTTTTTCTATAAGGATAGAGAAATCAGAATATAGGGGTGAGTTTTGTTTACCTACACTTAAAAACATTTTTACAGTTGCATGTTAAATTTAAAAATGTTGGATAATTAGCCCAGGCACATGTCACTTTGTCCCTTGGGGCTTTTGGGTAAACCACTCAGCCCTTTCTTCCTGGACTTGGGAGGAGCAAACAAGGACACAATGGACGTGTGTGTGTGTGTGTGTGTGTGTGTGTGTGTGTGTGTGTGTGTGAAGGAAACACTGCAGCTTGCTTCCAACCACTCCAACTGTGTAAAGAGCGTGGTCAGAAGAACCCACCCCAGGAAGCTCTCCCTGTGACTCAGAGCAGAGTGTCTGTCCTCTTGGCACTGTATGTTAAGGTGGAGCAGGAGTTCAAGGGCAGGGTCAGGAAATGGCGGATGGAGCCAGCACAAGGTATTCCTGTGGACTTGAGAGAGATTTATACCCCTGCTATCCATTGTTAGGGCCATAGAAAGGGGCCCCGCCTTTCTCAGACTCATGGTCAGTGTTTGTCAAGCACGGGTGTTTCAGTGAACTATGGACCACACACCTTAAAAAACAAACTCTGCTTTATTAAACCCATGTGTTTGTGAATAGACAAAGCGAGATTCATACAACCACCCACATATTCCATCAAATGAAACTCGCTCCAAAGACCACGCAGACAGCTTTCCATAATAATATGCCTTTGTATATAGCTTTGCACTTTTTCAAAGAATTTGGACTCGCTTTGTTTTACTGGATCCACTCTTGAGAAGGAAGTTGGAAAAAACAGACATTTTCTCTTTATCTTCCCCATTCTCAAAACTGGGAAAGAGGAGCAAGCAGACTCTTAGCATAATTAGGGTGTCTCTCAGAAATAATTTACTAACACCCCATGTTTAGGAGTTTCATTCCTTTCAGATACATAAATTGATGAGCAGGCTGAGGTCTTTAAAGAATAGCCTTCCATCCTGTCTCACTGAAGAATGAACTTTTTTCTCTGGGTCCTGCAGGAGAAATGTGGCTTTGGGGTTCAAATTGACTTCTTGTAAGGGAGAAGTGAGAGGGATGAGGACCGTGGCCAATCCGAAGCTGAGATGTTAACTGCTTTGGTGATGCGATGATGCAGAAACTGAGCAAGGCAGCTCTCTCTCTCTCTCAGCTTTGAAGGCCAAAGGCAGTGTCTCCTCCTCCTTTGTAGTTTGCTACATACCTTCCTAAGTAGCCTGTGAACTTCAGCCCACAGGCAGTTCAAACAGGCCTTGAGCCTAGCTGGCATTCCACAGACTGGCTGCAAATGTGGGGCAGCCATGATTGTGTTTGTTTCACGCCGATTGCATGTCTAGTGCTGCTTGATGGAGTCTGCTGCAGAGCAGAGCGGCCAAGCGAGCCAGTGCGCAAGCCAGCCAGTGCGCAAGCCAGCCAAACAAGGAGTCTGGAAAGCAGGCCAAGGACTTGGTACATGCAAGGCCTTCATGTCTGCAGCCTTGGGTTCCTCCTCCTCCGTGAAGCAGCTCTTGTACAGTGTTCCTAGGAACTAAGGGGGTGAAGCATACAAAGAGAAGTTCCAGGAAGCTGGGGAGATGCCAGTGAGTGGGGACTCTGACCTCTGTCGGACATGCAGCTCACATCCCACAGAAGAGGAATTTAGGCTGAGCCCCCCCCCCCATAAAGAGGTCTGTCTGCTGACTTGCTATGAGAAAAGCTCAAACCTGAACCTAGGGTTCCTGAGTTCAAAACCCACCCTGTGTCTCCTATTGTTCTTCAGATCTGGTCAGTCCAATATTTCTGCCTGCAGGCATTTCCTTCTCCCAGCGTTTCTTTCTCCCTCCTCTTTCTTAGCAACATACTCTGCCCATGCCCCTCAGATTCTTAGTAGCTTTTCCTCCTTCCTCTCTCAAGAGGGACTGATTTGGAAATCTCTACCAAGCCAACACAGTTTGATTATGAGATCTAGTCTCCTTTTTAGAGAAAATAAAGCAGTTTGGGAAAAGCAACAAAGGCCACATTTGTGTATTTTGCTTTATGGAGCTGAAAATATCTGGTAAATTGATCCAGTGGGAGTCATAAATACACATTACTTTATCTTGTTCTTCATGTCCTATACCCCAGAGCCTTGATAGAACAACACCACTTAATAGACTTAAGAAAGAGTAATTACACTCATTGGTTGTGTGAGTTTTCAGCCCTCCCAGCCCTGCCTGACCTTCTAATTTAGCTCACCGTGTCTAACTAATGCATTTATATTCATCTTTTATGAAGCACGAATAGTGTAGGATTGGCTGTACAATCTTTTGCTAGCTGTCTGCCCAGGTTTTTGATCTGGTTGGTAGTGAAGGGAGAAGGAGCCATCCATCTCCATACGTTTGCGTAGACAGACAGCCATAGACATGGCTGCAAGCATTTTTCATCCCTTATGAAACATAATAAAAAGTATTTATTACATTTTTACTTTAAAGCTTTTATACATCCTAGCATTATTTACAGCTAAACATGCAGGCAAAAGATGCGAGTGTTTTTAAAATCATTACTGCTAATGTCTCAGCTTGTCAGAAGTGCTTAAATTCTCCTGCACTTTGTCTAAAAACTTGGTACTGTTGCCTTTTAAGAACAACACATTTAAAGGATCTTGCAAGTCAGATCTGCAAACACTGCTGACAGTCTGTGATGGATGATATTGCAAAATTTGCAAGATGTTTGTCATTTCACACAGCTGACATATTAAGGAATGGATTAAGAAACTCAAAACCCCTATGGGAAACAGTCATCCCCTCCAAACCCCAGCCAAACCTCGAACCCCCAAGAGCACACCAGAATCTCTCACTCTGCTGTCTCTCCCAACTTCTCACTCAGCCATTGGATCCCAATTGTTCTCAGAGCATTTTCTCTCACCATATGGTCTCCTCATTACCATACACTAAGAGTCCATATGGGAAACTTGTGAAATGAACTGTATTCATTTTAACTGCCAGATGAGCAGCCTTGTGCTTTGC